ACCAGAGGTCACAGGACAATATAAATTACATATTCTGACTCAACATTGAATGGACGTTCACATACAATCAAAAAATCCCGATTGCCAGTTAGCCAATTCTGTATTGTATTATGACAGTGTTCTTTATCTATAATGCATACAAATAAATATGAGTTTGTGTTAACAGTATTGGATTGCAGTGTATGTTAATTAAGTTATCATATGTTTTGACTAGAAATATAATACTTAAACTTATTATGAATACATTTACATTTACTGTAGTATTACTCATTCATAAGGTGTATGAGTATTGCAGACAAACATTTGTTGAGTGAATATATCATAACATAATGTAATCACAGTTTTAATGGTATTTATGTAACCATTACTGCATATTGAGTGTCATATCTGTTGGTATAAAATAGTTTACATTTTACACCTAAAACTTACTTTGAATTTCAAATTCAAATACTAATCTTATGTTATTTATCTCATTAATTAACATTTTATCTTAAAAGATACCAGAGAGAGAGAGAGAGAGAGGGAGCCATGGGATCAACAGGCGAAGAGAGGGCAGTGGAGCGAATCCCTTATCCCTATCAGGTATGGGGTATGGGATGACATAAGCGATGACTGAATGCCTTATTGAATGTACGGTTAGATTGAATTGTATCGTATGGCCAAAGAGCGCAATACAATCGTATGTCTGGGCACCGGAACGGGAAAGACATTCATCGCCATTCTGCTGATGAAAGACCCGGAGTTCGCGAGTCAACTGAAGGGCGAGTACCCGATGACAGCCAAACGCACCTTCTTTTTGGTGCCCACGAGAGTACTCGTCAAACAACAGGCGACCGAAATTGAGCACCAATTCAGCGTCAAGGTCAAGGGCTATACCGGGGATATGGGGGTCGACTTCTGGCATACGGAGCCCTCTGGCAGCACATGGAATAAGGAATTGGCTGAGAATCAGGTGCTCGTAATGACACTTCAGATACTGTTGGATATGATAAGCCATTGTAGGATCAGATGGCAGAATATAAACCTGTTGGTCATCGATGAGGTGCACTGGGCGGCCAAGAAGAAGGGCAAGAAGGTGTCCGGACACTCGTACAAACAGCTTATGGATCTCTACAAGCAGTGCCCCGAAAGGGATAGACCCCGAGTGCTCGGACTGTCGGCCAGTCTTATAAACAGTTCGATGAAAGTGGAGCTCTTTGAAGATGCCATCAAAGACCTGGAAGAGACGTATTGCGCGGTCTGTAACACGTCAGACGTGGCCCAACTCTGCGGTACAAACCCTCGAGAAGTGATCTGGACTTTCATGAGTCAGGCCTCCGCTCCGAGTTCGACGGCTACGGGTGTTGTGAAAGCGTTGGACACATTCATTGATTATCTGAAGACAAAGACTAAAGGCATAAAAACGGACGAATCAGTCTCTGTTACGGTCACAAGAGTGCGGAAATGTCTGACAAATATCCGCAATATGTTGTCGGATCCCATCGAGAAGACCATTACAAATCCGGAGACACAACAGAAGTACATAATAACGATGACATGGATGGGCGTGTGGTGTGCGTCCAAAGCCATCAACCACTACATCGCAGAGATGTCTCTATACGAAGAGGTCTACAAACATGTTAATCCAAATCTGTCGCAAATGTTGACAAAAGTGATGAGTTATTTGAAAATCGTGGACAAAGTCTTTGTTCTCGAGCTGACGGCCGACCCCATGGCCGCACTCAACACAGCGTCGCCTAAAATGCTTCGTTTTCTAGAGTTATTGCGCGAATACAAGCCAATTGGTGGCCAACCGAGCAATTTGTGTGGAATCGCATTCGTTGCCCAAAGATCTGTGGCTAAAGTGTTGGCCGAATGGCTGACTGAACTCAAGCGAATCAAACCCTTGGAATACGACTTCTTGAATGTGGGATGGGTTGTGGGCCACAGCAATAGACCTGGATTTGAATCACTGGTCACTTCATTCACTGACAAACAGCAAGAGGAGATTATTGACGACTTTCGTGATCAAAAACTCAATCTAATTATCTCGACCTCAGTATTGGAGGAGGGATTGGATGTAAGCATATGCAATCTTGTGGTCAGATTCGACCGAATTAACACATTTAGAGAGTATCTGCAATCGAAAGGCAGAGCGAGAGCTGATTCCGCGAGATATTATATGATGACATCGGACGAGGACAGTGGGGCTCTCAACAGACTACTCATCGATTTTAGAGATATGGAGAAGAGGATCGCAAACCTCAATAGTAAACCCAGACATCGAGGTATGGATGCTGTCGATGACGACGACAATAGTGATGATGAGGAGACGCAATACACGATCACCACTGGGGCCACTATATCGACACGAACTGCCATTTCACTGCTGTATAGATATTGCGGTAAACTTCCGTCGGACTCATTCACTAAACTGATACCCAATTTTGAGATCTCTGGTGTACACTCGCCGTACACCTCATCAGTGAAATTACCCCTTAATTGTCCGCTGAAGACCCAAATCTGGGGAAAGGAATGCAAAACGAAAAAAGGGGCCAAAAAGAGCGCAGCACTCGAGGCATGTATTCAATTGCATAAAGTGGGAGAACTGGACGACCATTTGCTGCCTATAAGTAAAGATCAATTCATTGACAAATACGTCCAGCGATTGGGTCTGAAGATCAATCAAATAGCGCAGCACTCGAGGCATGTATTCAATTGCATAAAGTGGGAGAACTGGACGACCATTTGCTGCCTATAAGTAAAGATCAATTCATTGACAAATACGTCCAGCGATTGGGTCTGAAGATCAATCAAACCGACGACAATACCGACTGCACATCAAAGCCTGGAACTCGCAGTCGAACCCAAATATATACCAAACGTTTGGCACAAGAGTTGACTCCACCCGACGTTAAATCAAATGAGTATTATTTGCATAAAATCTCAATACAATACCCAAAGGTTGATTGCTTCCGTGAAAGTCATCGCATTTTTGGTGCAATAACTGGTCGACCCATTCATAACGAGTCCATCAAATTCCCGGTGTTTGTCAGCGTTAGAGCGCACTTGGATGCGATTAGGGAAAGGGATGTCAGTTCTAAAGCAGACGTAGATTTTACTCCAATGCAGTCAATCATATTGACTGCCGAACAGAAACGATTGATTGAAAAGTTTCATGTCTTTACATTTGACAGTGTCTTAGAATTTGGTGATGAAAGCCAAACCACATTCAATGCATTGGAATCAAAGTTCAATCTATTGGTGGTTCCGCTCATGAATGGCTCACAAATAGACTGGGATTTCGTTAATAAAATCAATACTTGCGGTCAGATTGACGTCAAGAAAGTACCGCTCTCTGAAAGATTGGACTTTAAGTTTGATGCTGAGATCTACAGAGACTGTGTGTTCACTCCGTGGTATGAACGGGACATTGAAGGGAAGTCCAAATTCTGCGATTCGTTGAGAATCACTGATAAGGGACTGAAATCCAAATGGGATGGAAAGGACCCGCAGTTTGGCACGTATGAGGGCTACTACCGTAAAAAATACGGACTAGAAATCAGTAATAAGACTCAACCTCTTATTGAGGGCCGAAGTGTGAAGAAATGCGCTCAACTCAAGCCATTCGTTATCGGAGAAGTGAAAAGTGGGAAACGGGAGTATTTTGTGCCTGAATTGGTGACAATACATCCCTTTCCGAGCACACTATGGCGTCAGGCGTTGTGTTTGCCGGCCATTCTCTACCGCGTAAACCATCTTCTTTTGGCTCAACAGTTGCGCCAAACAATAGTATCAGAGACCAGACCATCCATTGGCTCGACTCAACCTAAGGATCGATTGGCATTAGATCTAAGTTCGGAGGTTAACGAGTGGTCATTGAGTGAATCCAAACGCGTGCACAGCATTGAGGACTTGGATGTGGGCTGTGAAGGACATCCGTTTGATGACGCGATGGACACCTCTGATGCGGTCGTATTAAAGGCACAGAAGAAGAAACAAAAGACAGAGATGTCTATAATTATCAACCGTAGCGCCAGCTCTGAGACCCACCGAAACGCTGTCCAACCTTTAACCACAAGTTTGAATGCCATTACAAACATCAGTAATAATACCCTCATTTCGTCCTCAAATTTGGTTAATATTACGTCTGCTTTCATCAATGATTTCAAATGTCTTTTATTGAATTGTCAATTGAGTGAATTCCGATCTCATGAACAGGAAGTGGAGTTTATCAATGCTAACAGTGCTCTCATAGATGCCAATCAAACACTCAATTACGGCGATTCATTTCCATTCGTATTCACGGGTGATATTAAGCCACATATAAAAGAGGAATACGACTCGCGAGTGAACGCGCCTATAGTGGGACCGACAGCTGATGATTTGCTGAGAGCGCTGACACTATTGGGTGCGAGCGATGCCTTTAATTTGGAGCGAATGGAAACAATGGGCGACTCATTCCTCAAGTTCGTGACGACTGGCTTTCTGTACTACAGCTGTCCAGAGCTGGATGAGGGCCGGCTGTCATATCTGCGCCAAATGCAGATCTGTAACTGTAATCTGTATTACATCGGCAAACGGATTGGTTTACCCGACCTAATGGTGGCTCACATGTGGTTTACGCACAAGAACTGGTTGCCACCATATTATCACATAACCGATGAATGTGAGTGTCAACTGTTGACTGACAAGGAAAATACTACCGGTGCTTATAGACATCAGATAGTGAACGATAAGAGTATTGCCGACGCCGTAGAGGCACTGATTGGCGCTCACCTTCTCGTTGGTGGCAACAAAAGTGCGTTAATTTTCATGCAATGGTTGGGACTAAGAGTGTCACCAATTGAAGACCAAATCGATTATTCAGTTGGAGTCGGTTCGGAGCCTTTCCAATGGTTACCTCCGCCTAAGAGTCCCGTTTGGAACACAGAATTGTCTGACAGCGAAGTCCAGACATTCATATATCGTGAGTACAATGGATGCAATTTAGACCACTTCGAGGACATCATTGGATATAAGTTTCGCGACAAAGCCTTTTTAATCCAAGCCTTCACTCACAGTTCAAATTACTTCAATGTTTACACCGATTGCTACCAAAGACTGGAGTTTTTAGGCGACGCTGTTTTGGATTATCTAATAACTCGGCATATCTTCAACTTAGAGGACAAGAAGTTTAGTCCGGGAGAGCTGACAGACTTGCGGTCGGCGCTCGTCAACAATACCTTCTTCGCCTCGATTGCTGTGAAATTCAGATTTCATAAGTTTCTGAAGATATTATCTCCAGATCTGTTCCACGCAATAGAAATGTTTGTCAAGAAGTTTGAGTCGAATCAAGTGATGGCTATTAATAACAGCTTTAATAAGTTGAACGACGAGGACGTGACTGACTTGGAGGAAGTGGAAGTGCCAAAGGCTTTGGGCGATATATTCGAGTCGGTGGCCGGCGCTATATATCTGGACAGTGGCCTCTCGTTGGATGCCGTATGGGAAGTCTATTTCAAACTTATTAAACCAGAAATAGGTATTTCTATAGTTTGTATTGTGTGTTTCATTGCAATTGAGTTCATATTTGGTGTTTATTAGATTATTTTAGCGTAAATGTGCCCAAAATGCCCGTCCGTGAGTTGAGAGAGCACCACAAGAATGTTATTTTCAGGTAATGTCAAGAATTTTATATTTTGAATGACTGATGAGTTAATTGTGTTTATATTGCAGTCCAGCGGAAGAGGTAAAGGGCCGTAAGATCCGTGTAGTGGTCACTGTGGACGGGCGTCAGTTTGGAGGGGTCGGCAGGAATCAAAAGTTTGCCAAAATCGCCGCATCCAAGATTGCACTCTTAGCACTGAAACGTATGAACAAGTCTGAAAAGTCTGAGCCTTAAATCACAATTATTTTTGTTTTTCGAGATATCGAGTCATTTAAGTCAATATTATGTTTGTGTTTCCTATATTTGTTCAATTGGTCTCAATTCCTATATTAATGTTAAGTGTTGCCAATATTCTTATCTGTTATTCTGAATGATATATTTATCAGCTAAGTACAGCTTTAATAAGTTGAACGACGAGGACGTGACTGACTTGGAGGAAGTGGAAGTGCCAAAGGCTTTGGGCGATATATTCGAGTCGGTGGCCGGCGCTATATATCTGGACAGTGGCCTCTCGTTGGACGCCGTATGGGAAGTCTATTTCAAACTTATTAAACCAGAAATAGGTATTTCTATAGTTTGTATTGTGTATTTCATTGCAATTGAGTTAATATTTGGTGTTTATTAGATTATTTTAGCGTAAATGTGCCCAAAATGCCTGTCCGTGAATTGCGAGAGCACCACAAGAATGTTATTTTCAGGTAATGTCAAGAATTTTATATTTTTAATGACTGATGAGTTAATTGTGTGTATATTGCAGTCCAGCGGAAGAGGTAAAGGGCCGTAAGATCCGTGTAGTGGTCACTGTGGACGGGCGTCAGTTTGGAGGGGTCGGCAGGAATCAAAAGTTCGCCAAAATTGCCGCATCCAAGATTGCACTCTTAGCACTGAAACGTGTGAACAAGTCTGAAAAGTCTGAGCCTTAAATCACAATTATTTTTGTTTTTCGAGATATTGAGTCATTTAAGTCAATATTATGTTTGTGTTTCCTATATTTGTTCAATTGGTCTCAATTCCTATATTAATGTTAAGTGTTGCCAATATTCTTATCTGTTATTCTGAATGATATATTTATCAGCTAAGGTATCAAAGAACCTAAACTACCCGTTGTCAATTTAGTGTTTATAAAGCCTAATGCTTATTATAAAATTTACTTTATGCTAATTATACCGATAGCTAAACTTTACTTGAACTAATCCCTTTTTATTTGACCCCTTCTTAACTAATACCAATAAGTTTGAGATGAGGGCTGATCCCTAAAGTACTCCCTCCGGAGTGTCTAACGATATCTGAAGTAATATGTTTTATAAATTGAGTTATACTGGTGTTTGCGTTTATAGTCAATAAGAATTCACACAAATAGTCAACGAATCGGTCCAAAGAGTCTACTTTTCGTACCGTAAATTGCTTTTCGCAGATAATTTCATATTTTAATTCCAAACACTCTTATCATAAGTAACAAACAGTGTAACTTTCCAATATATTGTACGGTAAATGAAAATATTTTGTTTCTTAATTGTGTGTCTCATTGTAACCCATAATTTCTGTTTCGTTTGGTTTTATTGTTAATTTTAAATATTTTTATGTAATGTTTGTTTGAATTTGTTGTCAATAATTGTTGACCGGATTATATGTTTCATGATATGACCAGTGATTCTAGTGGTCTGGTACTAGGGATTTGTGATTCTCTCTATCCATTGGATTCTCAGTTCAGACAATAAACTAAACTATTATTTTGCAACAAATATTGTTTTGCTTTTGTATGGCAACCAATTAAAGTGCGAAACTAGTAAAATACAATTTACTGGAGTATAATCACTGATTTGATAAGCAATACAAGTGATATACCCGTACTATTGTTTAAACAATTTTTTTGACGAAAATTTTATGTAATTTGTTATTTAGGACACAAAGTATTAATTTTGTATTGAATTTTGTGTAATTAATTATTACATTTATATTTGTAAATGATGTTATTTTTTACTTTTAATATAAAAATTTACAAGAGTTTTCAATATTCAAATTCTGTTAGTATACTGGTTAGTTTTGTACGATTCATACGTTGACTTTTAGTAGGATTTTTACCCAACTTTTTTCAAACTTAATATACCTTTAAGTGGAAGGTATTAAAAATGATCCTGTAGAGTATATCTACAGTATATTTGGTTGTTTGATGGCAATTAATGATTGAATGCTAAATTATCTGGTCTGCAGTAACTCGCAGTTTGGTCTGCAGTTTTAAAATTGTAAAAATAATCTCAAAGTATTTTCGCAATACTTTGTACACTCGATAGTAATCCTCAATTGGAGTACTTCTTAACAATGGAACTCAAGATTAACGGAATTTGTTGTAAACAAATACTTCTGTATAACTTATTATCGTACTGTATGTTACAGGTCAAAGTGAGTTTCCCTTTTCCCTTAAACTTGCCTTTCCCTTCCCAATCCCTTAAGGGAACAGGAAGGGAAAGGGAATCAAAAATCACATACGGGAAAGGAAGGGATTCCCTTTTTGGATGTAAGGAATTCCCTTATACCAAATTCCCTTAAATGTCACATAAATACTGTATTAAATTGTTTAATATGCTGTGAGATTGAATCATTTAATAGTGAATAAAAGCTATAAAACTATAATAAAAACAATCATTTTATTAACATTAGGAGTGAA